GTTATTATTACCTCGTTAGGCCTGACATATTTTTTATCGGATCTTCTTCTTTCTAAATTATTTGAATGTGTATTACAGTGATGACGAAATTGATTCCACTGAGCTTTATTTTGCCCCTTATCCTAATAGCTATACAGCCCCAAATTACGTCTGGCCAACACGTGAATAACAAGCTGAAATACAAGAGAACCCACTTTACTGCTTTGCAGCTGGATAAGCTAGAAGAGACATTCAGACAATCACAGTACGTATCAACACGGATGCGTCAATCATTGTCTCAACAACTTGGCCTGTCTGATGGCAGCATTAAGGTAAAACATAAAAAAAATATTAATAATTCATGAAACTTTAGATAGTGATATAATTTATGAGAGATCCTTTAGTAAGTGACCAGTGTATTAATGGTTAGCAATGTAAAGTTGTTACGTTATGGATAACAGTGTGACTGCTAGAAGTTACCATGAACAAAAATATAAACAATTGTGTTAGAACAAGTTTGAAACTAATTGAAGTTGTGGGCCTCTAATGAAACTTCACAATTTTGTATTGGTCATCTTAGCTCGATTTTTGAGCATATGAAATTGTCACAAGAACTACTTTTCTATTGAACCTTTATTGAAATTAACGGACTAAAAATAGCTCGGCACCACGGATAGCACTGGTAGCAGTATAGTTAGAAACATTCAGATTTAAGCAAAACGTTACTCTTTATTTGCCTCTTTTTGCAACAACCGATTGTAATGCAACAATCTTTGCAATTTTTTTCAGAACTGGTTCAAAAATCGGCGAGTAAGATGGCGCAAAAAGCAGTACCGATTTATCCGATACGTTCACCCTGTTCCAGTCCCCTTCATCCAGTACTCTGGTCACGTGCCCTATCCAAACAGAGCCTTGAGCATGACACGCGGTGGATGTTCAACGGAGCACAACCTCCGCGCGTGTCCAAATAGGGACCGCTGACATACACCCATGTAACCTGTCTATTCCAGACTGTCAATAGTTCTATTAGTAATAACAGTGTAATATTAACCTTCGGACATTCAAGAGATTGTTTTCAGACTTTGTCACGTGGTTTCACACTGTGATCTTGACGCTTACAGTATAGCTGTTATCATCATATAACCCTTCCCTCTAATATTTAATTTTTATTTTCTTTTTCACTTTCCTTCTTATCAGCAATTTTGCAGTATTTTTCAAAAGTCCCATTATTAATTTCAACTTACATGTAAGATTTCTTGGAACTGAGTGTGAATGTTAGATTACTGCATACAGCTAAATAAATGCGCACTTTATTCCTACTGGTACTGTTAAATAAATACAAACAAGTTAATTTGTCCATTTCACGGACCACCTGTCCCTTTTATCCGATTGTTTTCCTAATAATTATAATTTACAAAACAAAAGTACTACACTGATACATTACTTACAATGCAGGTCCATTACAAAACTCTACTTACAGAACAAGACCTACGTTACTGACAATATGGGTTACTTATGCTGGCAATACAATACTGAATACGTTCTTTGCAGAAAATACAATTACACTACCGGTTACTTACACTACTAACAATACAGTGCTTTACTTACAATAAGTCCTTACATTACTTGTGGAACATACAGTTACTTACAATACTTACAATACGTTAAAAGAAATACATTACTTACAGTGCAATAAACAGAAGCGTTTCTTAAACAATAAAAAAGTAAGGCCCCGTCCACTCGAGTACGCCAGAGAAATTTGAAAACGCCGCTTTATTCTACGGTTAGGCATACCGTTCGCACTAATCCGTCAAAAAACGAAGATTTTCGAAAGCGCTTCTCAAACCGGAGGAATTTGGAAACCCTGGCTTTGAATTTTAGGTTGGACGGAAAACATTTTGAAAACGGAGTGTTTTGAAAAAGATGAGATTACGACAATCACGTGAACTTTCTGCCCGAGTTTTCCTCAAACACAAATCAAAAAAATGACCGGTGAGTTTTGCGTTCTCACATTTCTCCGGCATAATGTTGGCGGGGTTTAAAATTCACTTGTTTATCAGCGAAAAGTGTGCTACCCTCTACGAATAAAGTTTTTACTCATTTAACGGAGCACTGCGTCATTGAGCCAGGTTACCATGGAGAAAACAAAAAAAAGGCAATAGCATCTATGCCTGTTGTATATTGTTTAGGGTAGAAAAGGAAGAAGCATATTAAAATCACAGAACGTATCTCTTGAAAATATCTATATATTGAAGAAGAGAAATTCCATTTTCACAACAACTGTCTAATTTCTCGCGCGCTGATTGGCTCATTTTTATCATCATTAAGAGTTAAGAAAACAGTCCGAAGAATATACGCGCGCTGATTGGTTAAAAATCGTGTTTCTATAACCCGATAGAAACACAGAACTAGCACGAGCTATTGACGTAATGATGGCGAGAACAAAGAGAATTTACATTTTGATAATCACAGTTAACAAGTTGTTTTCCTTTTTTTCGTCGTGGTGTTTTCTAAAGAAATA